AGTATAAGCAAGTATAGAAATTTCTCGGTTTTCACTCACGTGAGGAAGCAGAAATAAAAACGGAAACCTTTTAATACAGAAAGTCTAGAATCTGGGAAATGAAAGAAGATAAATATACAAAAAGCCTTGCCGAGAATCAGGTCTATGCCGTCAGTAGTTCATACGCGAGATATTCGGAAAAACGTTATACCCGAATTTATAAAGCTTTGTATGGAGACGCCATGTTTGTGTCCCTTTCAGGGGTACAAATATGTCAGCCGGAAACCAACAGAAACATCTGTTTTTTAGTTTTCCTACTTATGCGGGAATTCTTCGCTTGAGAAACTCATAAAGATTAAAGTAATATTTATTCTAAGTCAGGGAAGGTTTAGATAGCAAAATCTGCCAAAAATCCGTAATGTTTTTAACCCACATAAGAGCTTTCCCGGCCGCCAGCTAAATGACGCGTCACGCAAAAGCCTGGAAATTGAAGTGTCCTGTATGGCAAAGCAAAAAACCCTTTTAAACGAAAATTTGTTTGTTTAAAGGTTTTAAGCTGCATTAATTTCACATGAAAGTAGAAACTCATAAGAAGCAATAGCTTCTCAGTTTGAATTTTGTTGACGTCATGTGAAAACCGAGAATAGAAAGTTAGGCTTTCATGCCATTCGATTACTTGTAAAAATATTAATTTGAATTCCCGTTAGTCGACGACAGTTTGCTTTCACTTGGCAAATAAGGGCATAAATTATTAGCATAAACTGAGCGATCTTTATTTTTCTGAGCGTTAATTGAACCAAAATTAAAACACTGGTTTATCTTTTGTAATAGAGATCTTTCACATAACCCCAACACCATATGCTAATGTGTCGCAATCGTAGAAAGTTCCACAAAATATGTTAATGATCTTTTCTACGTACAGCCAAGCTTTTTGTTTTCTTTGTCTGGTAATCCCTAGCGGCCTCGCGGCATTCTGGGGGAGTGCAGCCAGCGAGTCAAAGATCGTAGAAGAAGTTAAAATAGAACCTGGGCGGGGTTTCAAAGGATACAGATGGAAAATGCACTTCTGTGAAAACGCTTTAAGATGTTATTTTTCAGACTGAAGGATCGAAAGAATTCAATTTTTGGAAAGATTTTTATTTTGCTTTATCTGCAACAGTTACTTGTTACAGAGACAAACAACTGACTTGTGTTTCCATAAATAAATATCGGTCATCATAAATCATCAAACACTGACCGGCTGTAAATTTTACTATGAGGAACGAAAGCATCAGGGTATACTATCGTTCTACCCCAAGAAAATCATCGATAAAAAGGATTACACGAATCGTTTCCCAAAACCTCAGGATGCGATACGCAAAGAAGTCACCAGAAGAACAAAAATCCGCGAAATTGAGCCAGGTAGCATGTCTGAACGAAGATACATGTAGTTCAGGCACCGATGCCAATACTGATCTACCAGGTAGAGCCATCCCCGCAGCGCCTGAGCCAAAACAGGACAAACCTAAGAAAAGTGCTCCAGGAAACGACAGCGGACGTCGGGAGAGGCGCACATGGCCCACACGGAGATCGGTGGCAAGGCTGTGAAAATGATGAGTAAAATAGAACGGCATCGTAGATTAATAGCGACAAGGACTAAACATGCGAAATATTGAACTGCCAATTTCCTTTAGTTCATTTTTTTTAGTTGATAGTATCTGTAAGCGAAAGCGCTGAGGATAAAATGCTTTTTGTCACACAATTCGTCTTTTATTAGATGGTTCTATTCGTGCCTGCGGCAAATAAAGGAAAAGTTACCCATGGGAAAACACCCGCGTTAGTTTTGCATATTTAGTGGACTTTTGCACTATAGTGGCTCAAGTTGGAGTTATGTGAAAGATCTCTAATAGTCCACATTCCACCTTACCTTTGGAATTATTCAAGTAAGTGACATTCCTCTTTTATGGTGCTTATTTCTTTTTCATGAAGCGTCTTGACAAATCTCAAAAAAACTTGTTCAGTTATTGCTACAATCACCTCCCGTGAAAGCATTATAACGGCATATGGCATAGTTCTGGAACAATCACGGCGAGAAAGTTGATTAAAAATTTGCAACAGAAGAATATCAAAAGATACATATTTAAGGATTAAAAAGACTTTTATTCAGTCAAGCATTTCTATCATATTTCAGAATGTTTTCTCCATCCAGACCCGAGTGCTTCACCTGGCTTAGTCTACTGATAACAGAAAGCATCATTATAGTAACTTTCAATGTCGTCACTATAATCATTTTTACGAGAAACCGCAGTCTACGCACACGTGGTATGTACTTGGTGATAAACTTAGCCGTTGCAGATGCAATGTCGGGGGGATTTTCTGAGTGCATGCTTTTTGTCTACCTTGGAGGATGGTGTGACTTCTGGAAGTACAACCTGACTGGGAACTGGAGAAAACTATCAGTGGCTATGGAACTGTTATTTCCCGTTTCATCCATCGCAAGCATAGTTGCGATTTCTTTAAACCAGCTGCACGCCATATTTCGTCCGTTTCAACATCGCGTGATCAAGAAATGGGTATACGGTGTAGCAATTGCGATTGTGTGGATTGCAGCGGCATTGATATCGACATTGCAACATCTCAAAATTAATTATCTGACCCTCTGGATCTCTTTCACTTCCATTTGCCTCTTCACTATTTGTGTCTCTTACACTTTGACGGCTTTGAAATTTGTTCGTGGAAGGAACATTCAACACCATGGTTCATCTATCAGGGAAAAAAAACTGACCGTGACGTTGTTTATTGTGACACTGGTATCTTTGCTGATGTGGCTACCGTATATTACATGCTCTTTTCTTTTGATCACTTCTGCCAACTTTCGCTCCCTGCCTGATCAATTACTCTTTCATCTTAATTTTTCATTAATTGTACTGTACTACGCAAACTCTCTTGTAAATCCCATTTTGTACGCGATTCGAATGCCACAGTTCAAACGAGCATTGATTTCACTATTGCGACGTCAGGGAAACCAAGTGGCTGTAGCAGTTCAGTCTGCCCGAGGGAATAAGATGACCTTCGCAAGGAGTCGCTCTCGACGATCGCAGAAGTGCAAAGAATCAAAAGTCACCGTTGGAAACCAAATTACAGTTGTAACGTAATTAATGTAATTGCTACCAAGAAACACCAAGCATTGGCCTCCATGCTTGGAAGTCGCGAGAAGGCACGCGTGAGCAGCACGCGAGGGGAGACACGGGAGCGAGGGGCGGGAAAAGAATTCAAAGAGAGATGCTAATTAGGCCATAGAAAGTGTCCGTATTAACGGGGTGTCCGTATAAAGCGGGTTGAATTTAAAGAAATGTGAGGGCTTTCTTTCCCCAGGGACAAAGCAAAATGTCCGTGTTAAGGAGGTGTCCGTAAAGCGGAGTTTGACTATATCAAGCTCTCCTTAGATGTTAGGGTAGAGGGGATCTTGAGGTGGAAATTGACGGCCTTTTTCTTTTGTGGTCATTGTGGTCTTTCAATCATCACCAGTTTCGCTCTTTGAAAAACAATACTTTTAGACGCCAGTAAATAAACTCGCTTGCGTTTACCGGGAGATACCACAAGAGCTTGGGAGTGTGTTAGCAATAAAGCAACCCATTTACGACTTACTCAGGCTAAAACCCTGGGTAAGTTGACAAAGTGTTCCCAAACACAGAGAGGAGGAAAAAAATGTGTAACGAGTGTTCTTTTCTTGGACAGTTGAGTCCTGAATGAACAGTAATTATTCATTTCTTATGTAGTACATATTTGACTCTTGACCATTCTCATAAAGTACAGATTGATTCTTATGTAGTGCATAATTGATTCTTATGTAGTACATAATTGATTCTCATATGTACATAATCAAGAGAGGATGACATAATTGATTATTTATTTTTTCATTATTGATTGATTATTACAATTATTAAGTCAATTTTCCCCTATATTGAGTCAATGTTTGCCCACACTGACATGCTGCCAATGAAAATTTCGAATGTAATCTTGTTTAAATTTATGTTTTTAGTTGTTAGTAGATTCTCAAAGTTAATATGTGTCACCAAAACAAGTAGTATAATTGGATGCTAAGAAAAACGTTGGTTTCCTTTTCCTCGAAATACTTGTTTTCTGCAAATTGGTTATTGTTCGCTATCATTCCCTACCACGTAAAGGTATGACATTATGATGCGGTCAGGTATTGCCCCCACAGAATAAAATAGCATGGGAATAGAATGTTCACATTTAAAAGAGCTGTGTCACGAAATTCAGCCAAATTAGGAAATTACAAAATGTCCGTTAAATTAAGAGAAACATAAAAATAACCGCTTCAAACTTTAAAGGACGGTTAAAATAACATAACAAAACATAACAAAAACAACAGATGCCACGGATGGGCAAAACTGAAGAAGATTGAAACGGATTGAAATTAGGGTTTTTGAAAAGTGTTCAGCCTAACAGTTTTTCAAAGTTGATCCCTGCTGCTTGCAACTTCAAAAATAATGCTCAGGAGGCATATATTTGTTTGTCTTGGAGCTCTGATTTTGTCATTTACATGTAATTTCTTTGCTTACTTTAAGTTCCATAGCGATTGAGGGCGAGTAATTGGCAAATTAAACATAATGAACTGGACTGCCGTGACACAGCCCATTTAAAAGAATAGTCTTTACTAATGATAAGAATTTTGTTCAAGCAGTACAGTATAGAGGTGCAGAAGAGAAAAAAAAGAAAGAAGAAAAAAGTAACAAGAAAAATATACGCTCTTCGTAATATCTGTTCTCTGCAAATTGGTTACTATTCGCTATCATTCCCTCTGAGCACATTATGTGGTCTGCCCACGCCAAAGCATACTTTAAGGGCAATGAAATCAATCAAACGCTGGATTAAACAGAAGACTTAATTTTGAATTGACATGCTTGTCAAATATACCTTTGTTTTTGCCATGGAAACATCGCCTGTCGTTGACAAAGTTCTTCAACTGGGTTTCAAAAGCCAAACCTCTTCTAGCAGCTAGAGATATTCACAGTTTGGAAATTTAACTCTACCAGCGAAACAGATAACCCAGATCGTCACTCTTGCTTCCTGTCCTAAATTCAATAAAAAATATCGCATCCCAGAAGGTAAGTTTCCCCTTAGATGCCAGCTTAAAAGAATTAACTTGTTACCTTAATGTTCAAGAGAAAGAAGATTTTTCTTTGCTTCGCAGTGTTGACTGCGGGAAAGAAAGTAACATGTAATTCCCATGCAACATGGCTTAAAACTCAGAAGAGGTTAAGGTTACACAAGAATTACACATTCAAGAACCGCATTTGCTGTCATTGCTTAACTTCTACGTTGTTTTTTTTTTTAATAACAATAAAATAAGACAGCATTGCAAAAGGAAAAGACGTCGAAATGACAAAAAGTTAATATTCGTGTCCATATTTTGAGCACCAAATGGTGGCATGGAGCAGAAACGTTTCATAATTTACTCTTCTTTCGCCCTATATGATAAGATGATAAGGCTATGATCAGATTTGGAGGACATAAAAAACTAGATTATTCGCTCGGGAGTAGTTTTAATTTCCTCACAGGAGCGACATAGTAGTCTGCTGGCTATTAGCTTCCGAGCCAGGTGTTTTTTTCCTGCATAAATAGTCTTAAGGACCTGTCTTAATTCAAGGCGAAGCGGAACTCAAAATTAACCTTTTAAGTTATTATACGCGTTCGTTAAAAATCCTAGAAGTTGACCTTTAAAAAACTGGTGTCTATTTACCGTGAATTATATCACAAGTTGTGCTTTCTCAGCCCAGTATAAGCAAGTATAGAAAATTAGGCTTTTATGCCATTCGATTACTTGTAAAAATATTGCTTTGAATTCCCCTCAGTCGACGACAGTTTGCTTTCACTTGGCAAATAAGGGCGTAAATTATTAGCATAAACTGAGCACCTTTATTTTTCTGACCGTCAATTGAACCAAAATTAAAACAGTTTATCTTTTGCAAAATTCCACATTCTACCTTACCTTTCGAATTATTCAAGTAAGTGACATTTTTCTTTTATAGTGCTTATTTCTTTCTCATGAACCGTCTTGACAAATCTCAAAAAAACTTGTTCAGTTATTGCTACAATCACCTCCCGTGAAAGCATTATAACAGCATATGGCATAGTTCCGGAACAATCACGGCGCGAAAGTTGATTAAAAATTTGCAGCAGAAGAATATCAAAAGATACATATTTCAGGGTTAAAACGACTTTTATTCAGTCAAACATTTCTATCATATTTCAGAATGTTTTCTCCATCCAGACCCGAGTGCATCGCCTGGCTTAGTCTACTGATAACAGAAAGCATCACTATAGTAACTTTCAATGTCGTCACTATAATCATCTTTAGGAGAAACCGCAGTCTACGCACACGTGGTATGTACTTGGTGATAAACTTAGCCGTTGCAGATGCAATGTCGGGGGGATTTTCTGAGTGTATGCTTTTTGTCTACCTTGGAGGACGGTGTGACTTCTGGAAGTACAACCTGACTGGGAACTGGAGAAAACTATCAGTGGCTATGGAACTGTTATTTCCCGTTTCTTCTGTCACAGCCATAGTTGCGATTTCTTTACAACAGCTGCACGCCATATTCCGTCCGTTTCAACATCGCGTGATCAAGAAATGGGTATACCGTGTAGCAATTGCGATTGTGTGGATTGCAGCGGCACTGATATCGACATTGCAACATCTCAAAATTAATTATCTGACCCTCTGGATCTCTTTCACTTCCATTTGCCTCTTCACTATTTGCGTCTCTTACACTTTGACGGCTTTGAAATTTGTTCGTGGAAGGAACATTCAACACCATGGTGCATCTATCAGGGATAGAAAACTGACCGTGACATTGGTCATTGTGACACTGGTATCTTTATTGATGTGGCTACCGTATATTATATGCTCTTTTCTTTTGATCACTTCTGACAACTTTCGCTCCCTGCCTGATCAATTACTCTTTCGTCTTAATTTTTCATTAATGGTACTGTACCACGCAAACTCTCTTGTAAGTCCCATTTTGTACGCGATTCGAATGCCAGAGTTCAAACGAGCATTGATTTCACTATTGCGATGTCAGGGAAACCAAGTTGCTGTAGCAGTTCTTCTTGCCCGAGGAAATATGATGACCTTCGCAAGGAGTCGCTCTCGTCGATCACAGAAGTCCAAAGAATTCAAAGACAGGGTTGGAAACCAAAGTACTGTTGTAACGCAGTTAACGTAACGTAATTGCTACCAAGAACCATCAAGCATTGGCCTCCATGCAGGGAAATCGCGAGAATGCACGCGTGAGCAGCACGCGAGAGGAGACACGGGAGCGAGGGGGTGGGGAGAGAAAGGGAAATTTGATAAAGTTTCATTTCCATCTCGGAAACCGCAAAGCGTGGAAACTGTCACCGGCAACAAGAAATGTGTCAGACAACTGAAAGTTACTCTATCTCTCTCTCTCTCTCCGGGAAACATAGCCCGAGTACAGTCAAAACCGGTTAATACGGACGTTAATGGGGGCATAGAAAGTGTCCGTATTCACGGGGTTTCCGTATAAAGCGGGTTAAATTTAAAGAAATGTAAGGGCTTTCTTTCCCCAGGGACAAAGCAAACTGTCCGTGTTAGGCAGGTGTCCGTAAAGCGGAGTTTGACTGTATCAAGCTTTCCTTAGAGGTTAGGTCATTGTGGTCTTTCAGTCATCACCAGTTTCGTTTTTTGAAAAAATAATACTTTTTGACGCCAGTAAATAAACTCGCTTGCGTTTACCGGGAGATAACACAAGAGCTTGGGAGTGTTATAGCAATAAAGCAATCCCTTCACGGCTTACTAAGCGTAAAGCACCGGTTAAGTTGGCAAAATATTCCCAGATACAAAGAGGAGGAAATATTTGTTTAATAAGTGTCCATTTTTTGGGACAGTTGGGTCCTGAATGAACAGTCATTATTCATTTCTTAAGTAGTACAGATTGATTCTTATGTGCTGCATAATTGACTCTTATGTAGTACATAATTGATTCTTGTGTGGTACATAATTGATTCTCATGTAGTACATAATTGATCCTTCTGTAGTACATAGTAGATCCTTATGCAGTACATAATTGATTCTTATGTAGTACATAACTGACTCTGATGTAGTACAGATTGATTAGGGCCATTTATACGAGGAAAAATAAGACGCGTCTTTCATTAGATGCGTCCTAGATAAGACGCAAACTATCCCGTATAAACGGCAAGACAAGACGCGACTTAACAAAGACCTGTCTTATCGAGGAACAGGTGTCAGGGGCTGTTCTTAGATAATTGAAATTGATTCTTATGAAGTACATAATTTATTCTTATGTAGTACATAATTGATTCTTAAGTAGTAAAGATTGATTCTTATGTAGTACATAATTGTAAAAGCACACTCCCTATACTGTAGGTAACCGTAGCGTAGTTAATCTTGTGCAGAGGGATTCAAATCAGAGAATAGCAAGTAACATACTGAGACTAGCAAACAGTTAACACCCTATACATAAATGTATTTGTAAACTATGATAAAAATATAATTCTTTCTTTTCTTCTTCTTTTTCTTTTTATCTTAATAAACCTACCTTAAGACATCATTGAAATGGTGCAATTTTGAACGATAATACGATGAAGCAATCAACAGCGACTGCCATGGTTGTCATTGCATTAATTTCATTCCGTATTTATCGTTGAAGCTACTATGAATGAGCGGACGTCCGCTATAATACTGGGTCTTCGGGAAGGGCAAAGAACAAGACGCTAGGGCTGTCTTTTAGTTTGATTAGTGGGTAACCGCTCCTTCATGAGCACTGGAAACTACTTTTGTATACTTATGAAGTAATCCTACGAGTTTCCGTGGAGGTGGCTGCCATTGTTTCTTTCGCTCACTCAACACTTCATCAGAGAGTTCCTAAAGAGCAAAATTTTAATTTTTAATTTTAGTTTTAACGGAACACGTTTTATGACAATATGGATAAATAAAATAAATTAATTAATTAAATATATAAATAGGCTGCGTAAAGAGGCTGGCTTTTTTTTGGTAAAATACGCTACAACTGTATTACGAATACGATCGGAATTACGAAACAAAGCCATTTCACATGTCACAAGTGTGGAGAAAGGAAAAAAAAAAATCTCATGTTTGCCGTCCTCAATTTCATACCAACAGTACATTTTTCTAATGTTTAAATGATAATCGTAAATCATAAAAGTTTTTCCCACCGATTGAGAAGGCTAGACATGCCATGTGTTTTTTTAATGACCCTGATAGCAACGTGTGTAATATATAGTGTAAATTTAATATAATGTACATGAATTGTAATGCATTAAGAAGACACGAACTGTTGTCCTTTCATAAGCCACATGCCTTAACATCTCATGACATGACACAACATTACATGACTTGACAAGACATAATTTCACATGAAAGACATGGCATAACATGACATGACAAGACAGTACATGTTAGCGGACTTGCAACCTTGCTGTGCGTCTTAGAAGGCTCTGCAAGTATGTTATGGTAATAATAGGCATGCATGTAACAGCTTCACTTTTTAAGAATCATTTTGACGTACCACCTCAAGGGTTGCACTTTGCGGATCAATGACAATTATATCTCCATTCTGTATAAGCGCTATTGGACCGCCTACTTGTGCTTCAGGTGACACGTGACCAATCATAATGCCATGGCTGGCTCCGCTGAACCGTCCATCAGTAACTAAAGCCACTTTCTTCCCCAGTCCTGCGCCTACTAGAGCTCCGCCGGGTGAAAGCATCTCAGGCATACCCGGGCTAAAAACAAAAAACAAGAAAGCAGAGAAAAGACGCGGTTAAATTGCTGCGAAGAAGCACATAGAAAACAATTCAAAGACAACTAGTACGTTGGTCAAGTTTGGTCTCCTCAGTACAAAAGAAAAGAAATAATAGCCCTCAAACGTGCTCCAAGGCGTGCAACCAAATTTACCTTGAAGTTGGATCTAACTTATCCTCTCGAGTTAAGAAAGCCCCTTTTTGGATTTATGTTTCTGTTTTAAATGCCTTACAGCGCACATTGACGTTTTTAAGTGTATGACAGCTTTAAATCGTGTAATTACACGTATGACATGAAAAATACAGATAACATGTTTGCTTAGGATCGTTTTAGAACTGGTAATTTTAAATTGTCGTCTTTTAATCGCATCGTGTACTGCTTGTAGCCATCACAGGACAACTAAAAAACAAGAAAGTGAATGAGTTTCATATTGGAATAAGTTAAGATAAATAGGGAGAGATTTTTCAAAGGTTTCTGATCATTTAGAGTTGACTTGATGTGAATATATGTACCTCATAATCAGAATGATATTGACACTTTTCGATTTATAGTATTATGAATTATTTATATTTCATTCCAGGCAGTTCGCTTTCAACAAGGAATCTCGAATTTTTGTATAAACTGACACATTAACCAGATATCACCGTTTAGTCTACAATTTTATTTGATGATCTGTGTAATTGAATTAATTTTAGGAAATAAATATTAACAAAGTAATGATTATAATGATTACAAAACCGAGTACTGACCTCCCCTTTGGTCCTTCATATCGAATGACGAGAACATCTCCAGCTTTTATCTGATGATAAATTAATATCATACTAAATGAGTTATTCAATAGAACACAAGTCCAATTCCCAGCTCTGGCTTAAAACCACCCTCGGTGCGCTGGTGATTTTATGGAGTATATAAGAGAAATGTCCATATGAAACAATGTAAACCTTCAAACCATTGAAAGCGCGTGAGTATATTTGTCTTACTATGTTTTCGTGTGCGCAGCTCTTACAGTACGTCAAAAGCTAAAGCTCGTTAGCCATCTCACAAGATGGCTAACGAGTCAAATTTCAACAAAAACCACAACAACAACAACAACTACTGAAAATACAGAAAACCCAAGCATTAAAACATACCTTTTGAAACAAGGTTTTGGTTTAGGATAATGTAAATAGGGATGGACAAAACTAACTTGCCTTTCTATTCATAATAGCCTGGAAAGCTACTTTTGTATACTTATGAAGTAATCCTACGAGTTTCCGTGGAGGTGGCTGCCATTGTTTCTTTCGCTCACTCAACACTTCATCAGAGAGTTCCTAAAGAGCAAAATTTTAATTTTTAATTTTAGTTTTAACGGAACACGTTTTATGACAATATGGATAAATAAAATAAATTAATTAATTAAATATATAAATAGGCTGCGTAAAGAGGCTGGCTTTTTTTTGGTAAAATACGCTACAACTGTATTACGAATACGATCGGAATTACGAAACAAAGCCATTTCACATGTCACAAGTGTGGAGAAAGGAAAAAAAAAAATCTCATGTTTGCCGTCCTCAATTTCATACCAACAGTACATTTTTCTAATGTTTAAATGATAATCGTAAATCATAAAAGTTTTTCCCACCGATTGAGAAGGCTAGACATGCCATGTGTTTTTTTAATGACCCTGATAGCAACGTGTGTAATATATAGTGTAAATTTAATATAATGTACATGAATTGTAATGCATTAAGAAGACACGAACTGTTGTCCTTTCATAAGCCACATGCCTTAACATCTCATGACATGACACAACATTACATGACTTGACAAGACATAATTTCACATGAAAGACATGGCATAACATGACATGACAAGACAGTACATGTTAGCGGACTTGCAACCTTGCTGTGCGTCTTAGAAGGCTCTGCAAGTATGTTATGGTAATAATAGGCATGCATGTAACAGCTTCACTTTTTAAGAATCATTTTGACGTACCACCTCAAGGGTTGCACTTTGCGGATCAATGACAATTATATCTCCATTCTGTATAAGCGCTATTGGACCGCCTACTTGTGCTTCAGGTGACACGTGACCAATCATAATGCCATGGCTGGCTCCGCTGAACCGTCCATCAGTAACTAAAGCTACTTTCTTCCCCAGTCCTGCGCCTACTAGAGCTCCGCCGGGTGAAAGCATCTCAGGCATACCCGGGCTAAAAACAAAAAACAAGAAAGCAGAGAAAAGACGCGGTTAAATTGCTGCGAAGAAGCACATAGAAAACAATTCAAAGACAACTAGTACGTTGGTCAAGTTTGGTCTCCTTATGTACAAAAGAAAAGAAATAATAGCCCTCAAACGTGCTCCAAGGCGTGCTACCAAATTTACCTTGAAGTTGGATCTAACTTATCCTCTCGAATTAAGAAAGCCCCTTTTTGGATTTACGTTTCTTTTTTAAATGCCTTACAGCGCACATTGACGTTTTTAAGTCTATGACAGCTTTAAATCGTGTAATTACACGTGTGACATAAAAAATACAGATAACATGTTTGCTTAGGATCATTTTAGAACTGGTAATTTTAAATTTTCGTCTTTTAATCGCATCGTGTACTGCTTGTAGCCATCACAGGACAACCAAAAAACAAGAAAGTGAATGAGTTTCATATTTGAATAAGTTAAGATAAATAGGGAGAGATTTTTTAAAGGTTTCTGATCATTTAGAGTTGACGTGATGTGAATATTTATACCTCTTACTCAGAAGGATATTGACATTTTTTTATCTATAGTATTACGAATTCTTTATATTTTATTCCAGGCAGTTCGCTTTCAACAAGGAATCTCCGTTCATATCTGTATAAACTGTCACATTACCCAGATATCACCGTTTAGTCTATTTTGATGATCTGTGTAACTGAAATTAGGAAATAAATACTAATTAAGTAATGATTATTACACAAAACCGAGTACCAACCTTCCCTTTGGTCCTTCATATCGAATGACGAGAACATCTCCAGCTTTTATCTGATGATAAATTAATATCATACTAAACGAGTTATTCAATAGAACACAAGTCCCATTCTCAGCTCTGGCTTAAAATACCCTCGGTGCGCTGGTGATTTTATGGAGCATATAAGAGAAATGTCCATATGAAACAATGTAAACTTTCAAACATTGAAAGCGCGCGAGTATATTTGTCTTACTATGTTTTCGTGCGCAGCTCTTACAGTAGGTCAAAAGCTAAACCCACTCGTAGGAGATGTTTAACGTAATTTTACGTTTCTATCTCACAAGATGGCTAACGAGTCAAATTTCAGAAAAAAAAAACAACAACAACGACGACAACAACAATAACAACTACTGAAAATACAGAAAACCCAAGCATTAAAACATACCTTTTGAAACAAGGTTTTGGTTTAGGATAATGTAAATAGGGATGGACAAAACTAACTTGCCTTTCTATTCATAATAGCCTGGAAAGCTTTCTCCTCTCCATCAAACACTGCTGCCTGCAAAGCATTGCAAATATAAGGGCGTAGTCACCAGTGTGTTCACACAGGAGGACCATCCGAACTGTTCGAAACGTTTTTTGTGTCACCCGCGAGACTGACACTCAGTTTCAAGCGACTCAAAACGCCACCAAAACGCGGAAGGCGAAACTAAAAACATACGCTAAATTATCTTTATTCATCTAGCTTTCTCACCTTACATTAGCATTTGGGATCAAAAGGTGCAAACCACTGTGTTTTATGAAGCATTTCTCCCGATCACTTGAATCACACCGAGAGCGGGCGTTACGAGATGAATACAGTAAATGTATGAGATCACTCAGTGTCGCGCGCGACATCAAAAATGCCTCGAACAGTTCGGATGGTCCGCCTATGGTGTTCAAAAGGAAAACAAACCAGCTGACCTGAACCTATGTAAAGGCCTTCCAATTGATAAGGCCTTTCTTTTTTCTTAAGGAAAGACATACGTCCGATATTACCATGGTACCATTTTAGTCAGACAATACGGTAACCTGTGGGATATATATTGCAATGATTTTGAACTCCTTTCATCCCAGACATAGTTAATTGGTAAAAATCTATTAATATACGAAATCAATCGATATTAATCGACTTTATCCGCCGATTAATATCGATTGACATTGGGAATCGATAGAAATCATAAAAAATAATTTATCGATCATTATTGATTAACAGAATCGATAACAATCGATAGTAATAGATAAAAAATCATTACCGATTTCTATCGGAAAATAATCGGTATTAATTTAAGTCACAACTTATTTTCTTTATCGATTTCGATCGATTGATATCGGAAATCGAAGTTAATCATCGATTACTATCGACTGATATCGATTATCGGCTTATCGATTAACTACGTCTGGTTTCATTGCTATGCAAATCTCACTCAGACTATAAAGTATTCTATTTCACAACACTCACCCCTAGTGCTCATTTTTATTAAGATAAAGGAAAATTGATCAAGCGCGTTAATGGGGCTACGTCACGGGGATATTGCTGTTTGAGGTCAATTCTGTGCTGAAGTCATTACTTTATTACTGCTTTTACCCATACACAAAATGCCCCCGTAGAGTTAAGAAGAAAATATAAATCAGAGAGCACTAACGAGAATACGTTTCTAGTGATTTTTGCTGCCATGGCTTCAAAACTTGAAAAAGTTGGCCCAACTTTTTCAAGTTTCAATCCATGTCCATCCTTACCATCCGTAGAAACAGGCGACAGGAAACAATTTCAACGCCTAAATATAGTCTTGAATAACAAAACTGGACCATTATTTGATGCAAAGACACATTTGAGCTTTTTTAAATATATAGCAAATAGCGTGACGTAACCACTTTAAAGATGTTGACCGCACCTTTGCATCAACGCGACTTTTCAGCGAAGAGGGGAAGGAGGGTGGGCCGTTCTACCTTCATCCTTGCCGCTGATCAGAGACTGAGCGGAGAGGAAGTGTTCATTATTATTGCCCGAG